GAAAAATGTAACTCCCACCATTAACCATTGGAATTAATCATGGCATTTGTGGTGTGTTAATGGTGATTAATTAGCCATTAACACGTCCGTTACGCTACGCTCCGTTTAAAATTTGTCCCGAATAATTGGAGATTAATGGCCAGTTAACTCCGTAAAAATGGACTAATTTTAAACAATACGTAAAATTAATAAAAGAAGATTGGTTCAGTAAAATTGCAAAAATTGCAATCCTCACCATATTCTTTTATTAACGGGTTAACTCTGAGAATCAATTTCTCATTCACCCTCTACCATTTTTGGCGTAATATTTGTCAAAACATTTATCTCATTTAAGAGAAAACGCGTCCATTAATTAACGGTTAAAATCGTTAGTGGACCTATTGACAAATATACCCCAGTTGGTCCATTTAATGCCTATTAAAAATGCCAAAAATTCCAACAATCCCCCACATGAATGAAAATTTGATTTGGGGTCGACAACATCCCAAAGTTGAAAACCTGCAAAGAACACGTAAGTGTCTCCACTTTTGAACATGTCCCTTGTAAAGTATACCTTCTTTACTGGCTATTCAGTAGAACGCGATGTCTTTGAACTGTATTGCCGCTTGTGTAAACGATAGTATACCATACACAGATTCCAACCAAACACCGTTCTGTTCTCATTGTTGTGCCCATTTTGGTCATGGGACACGCGTCTGGTTGTGCGAGAGTGTTTAGAGGATTAAGCCCAAGATCCTCCGTTTGAAGCGACCACACTTCACTCTTACATAGGTGATTCTTTAAGAGCATCCCGATTACTCCCCTTAGACCACTGTGTCTATTGGTTAAGAATCATTAAAGCATATTTATATGCTAACCTCATCATTTTCGGGAGTCACTGTCTTTAGCAGGAACAGAAGGGACTGACCGAAGGTTCCGGTACCGCCCCCACAGTGATCACGCTTTATCCTACAAGTAGGTTGTCCCATTGAACCTGGGTACCAGCCAGGTTGGGTTTTCCTTCATAGGGCTGTCCTAGCACAAGGGCTTCAAACCCATTCCTGCCACCAACTTCTCATGCAACTCATTTGTTAACCCTTTGGTTAGCGGATCCGCCAGATTATCTTTTGACTTCACATAGTCAATCGTGATAATCCCAGTTGTGAGAAGTTTTCTAATGGTTTTGTGTCTACGACGAATATGTCTAGACTTACCATTATACATATTACTCTTTGCACGTCCTATTGCTGATTGACAATCACAATAGATGCAAACTGGTGGGACCGGTTTATCCCATCTTGGAATGTCCTCTAGGAAGTGGCGTAGCCATTCAGCTTCCTCACCACATTTGTCTAAAGCTATAAACTCAGACTCCATGGTGGACCTAGAAATCACTATTTGCTTTGAGGATTTCCAAGATATTGCTGCACCTGCTAGCGTAAAGACATATCCACTTGTGGACTTCAAGTCTTTACTATCAGATATCCAATTCGCATCCGAGTATAGCCCGAAAGCTGAATTGATCCAACAAGCAAGTTTGATCATATGGGATGAAGCATGCATGATGAATAGATTTGCTTTTGAGGCTTTGGATCGCACAATGAGAGATATCATGGGGTTCTCTAATGCTAAGTACAGAAATGAACCGTTTGGAGGGAAACCAGTTATACTCGGAGGTGACTTTCGAAAGATCCTTCCAGTTTTACCCAGAGCTTCGAGAGAGCAAATTGTAGGTGCTACGGTCAATTCCTCACATTTGTGGTCGTACTGTAAAGTTTATACGTTGACCAAGAATATGAGACTGCATTCATCTATGTCTTCTTGCTCAGATAGAGAGACACAAGCTTTTTCTGATTGGATAATCAAAATGGGTGATGGAAAGCTAGGTCAGGTGATGGACGGAGTTGTTGATGTTGAGATTCCGCCTGAACTCTTAATTCTTGATACAAGTTCTCCTATTAAGAGTATAGTGGACTTCACTTATCCGGATATATTAGAGAATATGAAAAATTATTCTTTTTTTGAGGATAGAGCACTATTGGCACCAACTCTCGAAGTAGTTGAAAAGATAAATGAATTTGTCCTATCCCTCATACCTGGTGATGAAAAGGAATACTTGAGTTCTGATTCTTCGTGCCAAGCAGATGCAGATGTAGGTGTTGATGGCGATTGGATAACAGTTGAGTTCTTGAACGAAATCAAATGTTCCGGAATCCCAAACCACAGAATAGTCTTGAAAAAAGGGGTACCGATTATGTTATTGAGGAACATTGACCAAACATCTGGATTGTGTAATGGGACAAGATTAATCGTTCAAGAGTTGCGGAATAATGTTATCGCTGCAATTGTGGTTTCGGGAAATCGAGTTGGGGAAAAAGTTTACATCCCTAGAATGAATTTGATACCATCTGATCCAGGTCTACCCTTGAAGTTCCAAAGAAGACAATTCCCCATCGCGTTATGTTTTGCTATGACTATCAACAAAAGTCAAGGTCAAACATTGTCATTTGTGGGATTATTTTTAACTAAGTCGGTGTTCACACATGGACAGCTATATGTTGCTGTTTCACGAGTGAAGACAAAGACAGGATTAAAGATATTAGTTCTAGATGATAATGAAAACCCTTGCAACCATACCAAAAATGTTGTATACCCTGAGGTCTTTCAGAAAATTTGGTATTAAAATATACATTGTTATCACCACATTTTATTCCTAAAATTTTATTTATTTTACTTTAGCTTTTTTTCATCTGTAGTATTAAAAATTATTTGCACAATAAATTTACTTTTTACTAAAAAATACAATACATTGAAAATAATTCAAAATCGACACAAATTTCATTCCACCCGTGCATTGCACGGGTCAGAATACTAGTATATATATATGTTCAAGTGAAAATGCGATCTTATTAAAGATATAAGAATCAATCTGGTGCTTTAGATTGTGAGATCTAAGGGTGAGGATTGCATCAAAATTAGGTGCACCAAAATGGTTTGAAAATTCGTCATGTCGAAATGCACCAAGATCCTTTGAAAATGCACTATCTCAAAATCTGATTGCAGGGTGCAATCTGAGCCGCACGATGCATCCGATCCAAAGGCTAGATTTTATTCTTATTTCATTCACCAAGGTGCATTGTCACTTGAACCGGCCCCCATATATATATATATATATATATATATATATATAATTATATTTATATTTATAATTATATTTATATTTATAATTATATTTATATATATATATTTATATAACCGAATTTCATATTTATAATATTATATTCCAAAGTATTTTATTTTACTATTTTACAAATATACAAATTACTTATTATCCTATTGTTTAATCCTACCCCTTAAATTGTCCAAAGTGTGTGACCTGTATAGGCACTTACAAAGATGGCCACAGTATTGTCTCTGCACCAAAACCATAAGCGCGGTATCTAGCAACACATTATTGTACCCCGGATATAAGTTAAGACGTTTGCACCGTCAAAACCTTTCCACGGCACAGACTCCATGTAATTGTATCCCTTTGTCTCAATGTCTACACTTAATGCAAGGGATTAGTAAAATCTAACTTGTGTCCATTAAGTCAGTCACTGATTTATCAAGTGTGACTGATATGAACAGACGTCATAAAACATCTCAGCATGGCCATGTAATATCCTTAGTCATAACTTATCAGTGGGCCCGATAAGACATTAGTCTCATAAAATAGTAACAAATCCTATGTACGTAATCTAGGTTTCTGAACACACGCAGCGGCATACCCAAAACAAAGCATGTATACCATCCTTATTTCATATGGCTTAGGACAATGCATCAAAGCATGCGGGTTCACATATGCAGAAAACGTAAAACTTCAAGTCGAAAGATAGTTACACCCGTGGTCGCGCTAAAGATGCTTAGAGCATGAACTAAAAGTTCAAGCAACATCGTTAGGATGGGTTAGTCCGGCATCCTATTATCTCCAGATAATATCTGCCCATGTGCGGATGCGAACACACTATTATTGACTATGAGACTAAGTCAAACATCCAACACACACTAGTCCCACATACATTACCGATATCCTACTCTCATTAATACTCAACTATGGACATTCAGATAAATATTTATATCCAGATGTTAGTCTCATCAGTAGAATAACACTATCTGATAAACAGCTTTAAATATAAATCTAGGAATATAATATTTGTTTACATTAGCATGAAATGTGTAAACATATTATATCTGCCTATACATGATAGAATAACTATAAACAGTTGGCCATAAGAGCACAACTCCAACAATCTCCCACCTGCACTATGGCCAATCTTGCATCGGTCGAATGCCCATGGACCTAGTGTGACCCTCATGCTTTAGCTTTTCTAAAGGCTTGGTCAAGGGATCGGCTATGTTTTCGTCAGTATCTACATTGCAAATAATCACATCTCCTATGTCTAGGATTTCTCGTTTGATGTGATAGCGTCGTACAATGTGTTTGGTTTTCTGGTGAGATCGTGGTTCCTTTGCTTGTGAAATGGCCCGAGTGTTGTCGTAAAACAACGGTATAGGGTCATTAATACTAAAAACCACTCCAAGTTCAGTAATGAACTTCTTCATCCATACAACTTCTTTAGCTGCCTTAGCGGCAACTATGTACTCTGCCTTTGTAGTCAAATCGGCGGCTATGTCCTCCTTGAAGCTCTTCCAGCTAAAAGCTCTGCCATTCAGGCAAAACAAATATCCTTCTTGTGATTTTGAGTCGAATTTGTCGGTTTGGAAGCTAGCATCAGTGTAACCGACCACCTTTAGCTCTTCCTCACCATGTATACCAGGAATGCATCCTTAGTATTGCGAAGATATTTTAGGATGTTCTTGACCGCTATCCAGTGTGCTTCTCTTGGACTTCCCTGGTATCTGTTGGTCACGCTTAAAGCGAATGAGACATCAGGTCTAGTACATATCATGGCGTACATGATGGATCCAATCGCAGAGGCGTATGGAATATTCATCATGAGTTCCTTCTCTTTGGGAGTAGAAGGACTCTGGTTCTTGGAAAGAACCATGCTAGGTGTCATAGGTAAAGATCCTTTCTTTGAGTTAGACATGCTAAATCGATCAAGGATTTTATCTATATATGTACTTTTATTCAGACCTATTAATTTTCTTGATCTATCTCGGTAGATTTTTATGCTAAGGACATAACTAGCATCCCCTACGTCTTTCATGGATAAGTTCTCGCTCAACCATGTCTTTACAGAAGTGAGAGCGGGAATATCTATACATATTAACAATATGTCATCGACATATAAGACTGGGAATACTATTACACTCCCACTGACCTTCTTGTATACACAAAATTCATCAGAGTTCTTCTCGAAACCAAAACTGGTAATGGTTTCGTCCAAACGTATGTACCAATTCCGAGATGCTTGTTTCAACCCGTAGATTGAATGTTGCAGCTTACAAACTTTGGCAGACTGACCAGCAATTTGAAAACCATCAGGCTGCGTCATGAAGACATCCCCTTTGAGGTTCCCGTTAAGAAACGCCATCCTGACGTCCATATGCCAAATGTCGTAATCGTAATAGGCTGCAATAGCAAGAAATATCTGAATGGATTTCAGCATAACAACTAGAGAAAAGGTTTCATCATAGTCAATCCCGTGGATTTGTCTAAAAGCTTTTGCTACAAATCTAGCTTTGAAGGTATGAACCTTCCCGTCTACGTCTATCTTCTTTTTGAAGACCCACTTGCATCGAATGGGTTTTACCCCTTCGGGCACATCAACCAAGGTCCAGACTTGGTTTGTGTACATAGACTCCATTTCAGATTTCATGGCTTCGAGCCATAGATCGGATTTGGGCCATGTAATTGCCTCGAGGTAGGTCTCTGGTTCACCTTGATCTACCAACAAGATGTCACATTCATTAGACATGAGAAATCCATATCTGATTGGAGGATTACGTATCCGGTCTGACCTGCGTGGTATATCTTGAGCAATTTGAGGTTCAATTGCTTAATCGCTTTGCTCAGGTTTCAATACTATCGGGACTTCTTGTTGTGGTTCTCGAATTTCTTTGAGGTCTACCTTTCTCCCACTAGTGATAGCAGAGAGAAACTCCTTCTCAAGGAAGGTTCCATTCCGAGCAACAACGATTTTGTTTTCGGATGGATGATAGAACTCATATGCTCTAGTTTCCTTGGGGTATCCCACAAAAATTACTTTATCAGATTTAGGCTCCAACTTACTTGACGTCATGAGACGTTTTACATAAGCTTCATAGCCCCAAATCTTAAAGTACGAGAAACACGGTTTTCTCCCACGCCATTATTTGTATGGTGTGCTCTCAATAGATTTAGATGGAACTCTATTGAGTGTGTGTGTGGTGCTATTTTCAATGCATATCCCCAAAATGATTCTGGCAATTTGTCAGACTGATCATGCTCCGGACCATGTCAAGCAAAGTCTGATTTCTCCTCTCAGACACTCCATTTAATCGAGGTGTCCTAGAGGAGTGAGTTGGGATAAGATCTCATGCTCTTTCAGATAGTCATCGAAATTTAGTTTTAGGTATTCACCTCCTCGATCCGAGCAGAGGAGTGAGTTTGGATAAGATCTCATGCCTAATTGTTTTTCTACTTTCTTGGGATAAGACCTCCTTGATCCGAGCGGAGGAGTGAGTTGGGATAAGATCTCCTCTATAACCAAATATTTATATATATATATATATATATAATATTATATTCCAAAATATTTTATTTTACTCTTTTTTACAAATATACAAATTACTTATTATCCCATTGTTTAATCCTACTCCTTAAATTATCCAAAGTGTGTGACCCGTATAGACACTTATAAAGCTGGCGATAGTATTAGCTCTGCACCAATACCATAAGCAATAAGCAGTATCTAGCAAGACATTATTGCCCCCCGGATTATAAGTTAAGACCTTTGCACTGTCAAAACCTTTCCACGACACAGACTTCGTGTAATTGTATCCCTTTCTCTCAATGTCTAAACTTAATGTAAGGGATTAATAATATCCAACTTGTATCCATTAAGTCATTTACTGATTTATCATGTCTGACTGGTAGGAACAGACGTCATAAAACATCTCAGCATGGCCATGCAATATCGTTAGTCACAACTTATCAGTGGGCCCCATAAGACATTAATCTTTTAAAAGAGTAGTGACAAATCCTATGTACGTAATCTACATTTCTGAATATGCGCAGCAGCATACCTAAAACAAAGCTTGTATACCATCCTTATCTCATATGGCTTAAGACAATGCATCAAAGCATGTGGGTTCACATATGCAGAAAATGTAGTACTTCAAGTCGAAGGATAGTTACACCCTTGGTCGCGCTAAAGATGCTTAGAGCATGAACTAAAAGTTCAAGCAACATCTTAAGGATGGGTCAGTCCGACATCCTATTATCTCCAGATAATATCTGCCCATGTTTGGATGTGAACACACTGTTATTGACTGTAATACTCGACTCTAGACATTCGGATAAATATCTATTTCAAGATGTTAGTCTCATCAGCAGAAAAACACTATCTCGTAAACATCTTTAAATATAAATCTAAGAATATAATATTTGTTTACTTTAGCATGAGATGTGTAAACATATTATATCTGCCTATACATGATAGAATAACGATAAACAGTTGGCCATCATGGCACAACTCCAACACATAGGATTTCTTGATATAACTTACGATTAATCCATATGATCATAGTTTTCTCGTTATAAGGACTTTGGTATGAAACTCGTTAAAAGGAAACACATAGAAACCCACTTAAATCAATAGATGCAATACATATAGAAAGATCTTATCTCCACCTTTATCAAGAAAGATCTTATCTCCTAATGCTCCTCCATTTATACCACTATCAAATAATATTTTTGCTACTCTCTACAACCAAGATTCAGAGAAGGAGTTAAATGTTGAAATCTTGGATGAAGAGGATCCTTTCTCAAAAATGAATGATCATGGCCTGGTTCTAAGCTTTAATGCATTGGAGGATCACTCTAAGGAAAGAGATGGGCCCATTCTATACACACATTCAGAGGGAGAGGAATAATATTCATAGATTCAATGCTTAAACTGCTTCAAATAGATCCCTCAAGATGTCCCATGAATTCCTTATATCTGCGCAAGGACCAAAAGGGAAGAAAAACTTATTCCCCTTCACAAATTGTAACGAGAAGTCGGGCTAAACTTCTAGCCCAAGGTAGGAGGATCACACCTATTGGGTGGGAAGAGGAACAGGAACTGATCGATCCTCAGGAATCACATGAAGAAGAGGTAATTAATTTTTTCAAACTTTGTTGCCCTAACAAAAAAGATGAACCTAAACCTCCTACAAAGCCAATGAGCAAAACTCAGAAAAAGAAGTTGAAAAAGAAAAAGAAACGCAACCAGGTTTCTGTTTTGGGGTACGAGGAAGAGGATTTCTATGTATAAACAGCATTTCTTGACAGTTTCCATTAGTTTTTTTGGTTCCTTTTCGAATGGTTTTTGCTCGCTTGGTCTCTCCAATTTAGTCTGCTTATCATGTTCCCTTAGTTTAGTGAGGATTCTCTGTTGGGAGGAAAGTATGTCAAGTTGCAGGAACTTAATTATAGCAGGGAGGTTTGGAGTGGTTTTGAAAACTTTTGGATTGGATCATATGATTGCTACTGGATGTTCACCAAAAAGTTGAGATATATGCATTCTGGTATATCTCACACATGGAAGTATGGTCACTTGGTCATAACTGCTAAGGTGTTTATGCATGGAAGTATGGTCACTTGGTAGGGCTCTTTTTCTGGTTTAGCTTTTTGCAGAACTTCACTTGGATGCATTTAGGAATGGTTTAGCCAGGTACATTGGCCGGATGTTGTTCTTATCCCCTTGGACTCTGGTGTCAAGTTGGAAGCAACTTAATAACATCGCATCCAAGCAAGATAAATAGTGGTCTGTAATTATCCAGGTTTTGTTGGATTGCACTTGGCTAACAAATGGATTTGATATGTAGAGCCATCGGTAGACCCCCGATGTCAGTTGCCCTTGTATTGTTAGTGTTTGCATTCTAGCTTTTGTTTAATATGTAATTTGGGCTTTCCGTGTATTTTGTTTTCTTTTTCTCTTTGCTGGGCCGTCATGTTGGGGCAGGGCCACCCCCACCTCCTTTACTTTTTTCCCTCTTTTTAATAAAAACTTCTTTAATATATATATATATATATATATATATATATATCTGTATGTATGTATGTAAACCTTAAATGTTATTATAAACTTTCAAAGGATTGAACGTAATCAGGCTGACCAAAACAAGAACCCGAGTGCTGGGATAATTGATAATCATGTCTTGACAATCGATTATCCAACCACGCTGAATTTTCTTGTTTGGAAGGTGAACTTGATAATCGATTATGACTTGGTGATAATCGACTATCATACTCTACTGAACTTTGAGCTCAGAAATTGCCTAACTTCATAATCGATTATCACAAAGTGATAATCGACTATCAGGTGCTGTGGGACTTTGGGATCAAAATCTACCAAGCTTGATAGTCGATTATCAATAATAGATAAGCGACTATCAACTAGTTGAGAACCCAACCAAGGAAAATCATTCTATGAACCAAGGTCCAAACCAAATCGTTTTCAAAATGAAACCAATAACTCAATTGTTGATATTATATATATATATATATATACACACATATATATATACATATATATATATACATATACATATATATATATATATTCAATAAAATCTCCTATTTAATATATATATATATACACACACACACACACACACACATATATATATATACTTTTTTTTAAATATGTTTTATTAATGAAGAAAAGAGAATGCAAATACAATCAGGATAGGAACGAAAATAACTAAAGTGAGAAATGTCTTCCAGTCCTCCAGAAATCGTTGAGACCCCAGCCATTGAAGTCAGCATCATAACACATCCATTTTTTGTTCCTATTGACCCAGCACCAGCCTTGAAGGAGTTTGAAACAGTGTTGAATAATCCCCTCCCTTGTAGTATTTTTCCCTTCGAAGATAGCAAGATTTCTGGCTTTCCAAATGCACCATGGGATGATGCCTGGTAAGATGAGCCTAGCACACCCCTTGAAACTCTTAGTGTTACCAGAGATCCACCAAAGAAGCCAGCATTGCCGCAAAGTGAGGGAAGCTGCAAACCAAGGTCCACCTGTCAAGTCACTGAAATAGTCCCAAATATATTTGCTGAAGTGACAATTGAGTAGAGTGTGATCCAAGTTGTCCTCATGCTGTGAACAGAAAGGGCATATGCTTGGGAGCATGAGGTTGAATCTCCTGAGGTTGTAGGGAAAGGGTAAGCATCCTGATTGGCATTTCCAAATGAAGATCCTAACTTTAGGGATTTGGTTCTTGTGCATATATATATATATATATATATATATATATATATATATATATATTATAAATAAAAGAAAAAGGAAACAAAGGTGGGGGTGGCTAGCAGCCCCTAGAAAAAGGCCGAAAGGAGGAAATACAAAAGAACCTGCCAGCTCCAAACCTGCCATATCTTAAGACTCCAAAAGTGAAAAAAAAGAGAAGAAATACAATAAACTTCCAGATCCTAAGGAGAAAAAAAGGCCTTGACATCCAAAGTTACTTGATTCCCTGGTCTGTCTGGAAAATGAAGTGGTGCGTCCCTACAAGCAAGATCTTGTTGCATACAAGAAAAAAACCACAAAAGCTATATATCATGAGGCTGAACTAGGCTCCATATGCCTTATCTTGCGCTTAGATGTCCCATTAACCCATTAATTGACCATAAAGGGAAACACAGCCTAGTACATGTCCTCCCTTATCTCATATCACCCTCAAGGCTAAGGCAAACCTTTCCCCAAACAAGTGAAAAGAAAAAGAGGAAACCCAGAACTAGTTATGCTGACTGTCAAATACTCAAACTTGATTATGCATCTAGTTGCAGCTAAACCCAACACTATCAAACTATGAAAACTTTCCTGCCTTCCAACTAATTTCAAGATAATGAGACTAAAGGTTCTTCTATAACCCAAACACTAGGGTTTAGGCAAGACCCCGCCAATGACCATTCTTTTGCAAGCACATAACAAGCCCATGCCTAGAAATGGCAGTTCCCTAACGATCCATGTTTGCCATTCAAATGCCTCTAAAGCTTGATCAATCTGATCCTTCCTTTTCCTGCTCTCCTGCCATTTTCTTCTTTAATTTCTTTTTTGACTTTTTCTTTTGGCTCTTGGTTAAAGGCTTATTTGTGGACTGTTTCTTGGTTGCTTTTTTGTTAGAATAAGTGACCAACGCTAGAGGGGGGGTGAATAGCGTTTGATCGTAGAAATCGCAGGAATAAAAAATTAAGAGCGTGAAAAGTAAAGAGCGTAGAAAGCGTAAAGGGAGCACACCAAGATTTATACTGGTTCACCACAACGTGTGGCTAATCCAGTCTCCCGAGAGACTCTCTCGAGCTACACTACTTCCGTTAAGCTTACGGGTTCTTAACAAACCGTTACAACCTGAGAACTCGAGTCCCACGAGCCTCAACAACACTTGCTCGGAGATACCGCACTCCAAGACTTCAACCCAAAGGAAAATATCTTTCCTTCGTACAACCAAGGGAAACAAGCTTCCCTTAACGTGTATACAACACTAAGACACTCAAGAACAAGACTCTCCTTAAGAGTGGATATTGAGTAAAATATATACGCTCAAGAAGAACTCAAACTTCACACAAGTTGGCTCTAGAAAGCTATGGAAAATAATGTGGTTTGGAAGCAATGATAATATGAATATTGTGAAGTGAATTTATGTGTAAAGCAGACCCAAACACCCCTTTTTACAGTGCCAAAATAGGCTCCAACGGACCAATACATTAAAGGGGTGATTGGCTTGATTTATGGGATTCAATAAATTTGGGATCTGCAGGATATTGGCTTCCCAGCGATGTATGGACATTACCCATCGCTGGTAGGCCAATTTTCCTTCAGTTTTGAAGCCAACGGTCACCTACCCATCGATGGGTAAATGCTTCCCATCGCTGGGTGGGAGGTTGACTTTCAAACAAGGAAAGAATCAGCCTTAAATGACTCGCAACGGTCATGCCTAACCAGCCATGGGTATGCCCTCCCATCGCTGGGTTGCCATCGATGGGTAAAGGTTCCCATCGCTGGGTAAGGGCATTCTGCCTTGCGAAAATGTTGGACCAAGGCTTAAACAGCGATGGGTAGAACTTCCCATCGCTGTTTGGCATGGTTCTGGAAATCAGTTGGGCTGAAGGCTGCTTACCCATCGCTGGGTAATATCTCCCATCGCTGGGTAGAATGATTCTAGAATCCCGGGATCACTTACCCATGCATGGGTGATATCTACCATCGCTGGGTAGATGGCTAGCCCAGAACCATGGCTTAGCTGACCAGCATTAAAACCCGACCGAAAAATGCAAAGTTCTCCAAAGTAAAAACTAAGTATATAAAACACTTATTTAATGTATTGTGATGTCAAATCAAGCTTTTTAAGTTGAAAACCATGTCGTTAAGGTAAAAACCACGGTTGACCAAGTCAACGCCGTACACGGGTGGTTTTTACCAAAAGACAAAACCGAAAGGTGGTTTTCATGATGTTTTGATTGGAGAACCATTTAGATGAATTAAAAAACAATTCCTACACAAAAATACTTGAAAACCACTTCATTTAACTAAAAACCACGGCTAGCCAAGTTTATGCCGTTTCGCATGGTTTTTATCAAACGACAAAAAACGAAAGGTGGTTTTTGAAGTGTTTTTGATGGAAAACTATTTAAATGTGCCCAGAAGTAAAAACCAATCATAAAAAGTTGAAAACCACTTGGTTAGTTCGGACGCCAAAAACCAACGCCGAAAACTGAATGCGGAACGCCGGTTTCTGAAACCCGAACGCCGGGTGGCTTGGTTTTTGGTTTGGGAGAACACCAAGTGTTTTTAATGTTTTAAACATGTTTGAAAAAAATTTTTATGATGTGAAATGCAATGAAAAGAATTTTAGCCTAAAGAGCCAAGGTGTAAAGATTGGGTCGGTCTTGATCACAATTGTGACCGACTGAACGACACTAAGACTACGGTCTTCGTTCTTGGTCTTCTTTTGGCCCTTGTTCTCTTTCTTCTCATCTTTGGTTCTCGCCTTGTATATTCAATGACTTGTCTCGTTCACGGCGGTTTGGCATTATCAAAACCTGTCATAACAACGAACACGGCTTTAGTACGAAAACGTGATAAACCCGTGTTTCAACAATTTCCCCCTTTTTGATAATGGCAAACAAGACGGGGTTATGCATAGGAGGATTGATTTGAGACTTAAAAAATGTTCCCCCTTAATAAATGCAATTTAGAAATAGTTCCCCCTCAATCTATGCATAACCTTTATATCTTCCCCCTTTTGACATTAACAAAAAGAATTAAAAGTAAACTTTTATTCATTTAAAAAGGAAATGCAGAATACAACGGATAAAAATAAAATCATATTTAATAAGGAGAAAATAAAGAAGATGTCGTGGCGTCGGTGTTGGCCTTCTTCTTTGAAGCCTCGGTTTTGGTCCTTGACTTTCCTCTAGCCATTGTTGAAGCGTTTAGAAGGTGAGTAGAGGCTTAAAGTATGCAAGAGGAATGTGAGTTGTGTGTTAAAAATGATCAAGGATGGTTAATATTTATAGGAAAAGAGAATTTGGGCCCTTGGTGTTAAAAAATATGGCTGTTAGGCATTGAATAAGGTGCCCAACGGCTATGATTTTTGAACTGCAATAGGCTTCCCAGCGATGGTAAGGTTCTCCCATCGATGGGAAGACAGGTACTGGAAAGGGGGGAAAAAAGTGAAGGCAGCCTTCCTAGCGATGGTAAGGTTCTCCCATCCATGGGAAGACAGCTACTGGAAATCCGTTAAAAAAGATTTTAAAAAAAAGTGTCAAACACCCAGCGATGGGATGAAGTTCCCATCGAGTGGAAGAGGGCTGCTGGTTAGAAAATACTTCCTTCCCAGCGATGGGATAAACCACCCATCGCTGGTTCCCCCTGAGTTCCTCACTTTGATGCGTACGTGCAAAAAAAACAACACTTTGGTACCCAAAGTATGTCTATGGGTCCTTGGGGGTTAGTTAACCTTTATTGCCCACCCAAAATTTGTTTCCTAATGCGCACACACACACACATGATTAGATGATCGTTTAGGAGTTACCTTGGCCAGCCCATGATCTCGTGGTTGGCGGGTTCCAGTCTACCTGAACGGAGTGCCGATATCTCAGTGTGGTCTGTGTTGGTTCCAGTAACGGAATGTGGACTTTATTCTTTTCGTCAAAGTAGAAGAAATAGTAAGGTTTCTTTTGTGCATTATCCTGTGCAGATTGTTTATGATACGAATATCCTTTTCCAAAGGATTTCTTTTTGTTAGCACCAAATATTTTGTGTGTTTCATTATAGGTGAAGTGCCTATGTCTGGTAAAACACACGGGAGCTATATGTCCTACCCTATTGCAATAATGGCATACTACGTTTTGGTTGAACATATGCCTAGGTTGATAATAGCTAGGGGGCCTAACCATGTTTGTCCTATTTTGAGAAAAAGATGGTTTATGCATGTTTTCAAAAGGATCATTTCTAGGTGTTCTCATATTGTCTCTTCTATTTTGAGAAAAATTATTTTTATGCACCAAATCATTTTGATAATTTTTCTTAGGTTGTCTACCATGAACGTTTTCATTCCTAGGTTTTTGTCTAGGTTGTCTAGTGTTCTTAGATTGACTAGGTTTTCTATTAACTTGATTTTTAGCTTTCTTACGTTGAGCCTTAGGAGGTTGTTTAGGTGTTTGCTCAACGTTTTCTCTATCCTTAGCTTCGTTTTTATTAAAACCTATTCCTTCTTTAGAAAAGTGCATAGTGTCAAGGAGTAAATTAAGATCTTTGTGCGGAGTATTAAATTTCTCAACTGTACTCTCAAGTTTTGTGACTTGTTCTTTCAAAGCTATGCAAGTGTCACAATGTTTCGTAGAGCTCTCGGGTTTGTCGGCGCTTCTTTTACCATAAAACTTATTTTCCTCTTTTAGTTTTTCGTTTTCCTTTTGAAGTTTTTCAAGGTCAGTTTCAAGATTAGAAAAACGTTTCTTTATGGCTTTGTTGGTTTTAGAAGCGCTAACAAACTCGTTATAAAGCTCTTGGAGAGCTTCTTGCATTTCTTCAAGAGAATAAGAAACAGTAGAAGAATTACATACCTTTTGGTTTTCGCCGTAGTCGGACTCCTCTTCTTCTTGAGCTATGAGACAAAGGTTTGCTTCTTCGTCTTCCTCTTGCTCGCTTGACTCATCGCCAGAGTCGCCACCCCAAGAGATGTATGCTCTTTGCTTTTTGAAGTGACGAGCATTCCTTCCGCTTCTTGGGCATTTGTTCTTGATGTGCCCGGCTTCACCACATCCATAGCACACAAGGCCGTCCTCAACCTTTTCATTCTTCCTTAGAAGCTTGCAAAACTTTTTCATGACAAGCTTGACTTCATCATCGTCGCTTGAGTCATTCATTGTTAGTTCTTTGAAGGCTTTTAATGCTATGCCTTTCCTTTGGTCATTCAAAGACGGGTTAAGTATAGTAGATTCATACGTTTTTAAGTTACCTCTTCAAACCGTCGATGGTGACATTTGATGTGCCGATTGACTCATAGATGGCATCGGCCTTAGATCGCCATTCGGATGTCAAGCTCCGTAGGATCTTTCGCACAAGATCCCTGTCGGTGTAGGTCTTCTTCAATGCATGAAGATCGTTGACTATCTTGGAAAAATGGTCGAACATATCGTCGATCTTCTCGTGCTCCTTCATCCTGAACATCTCATACTCTTGGGTGAGGAAGTCGATCTTGGCTTCACGTACTTGGTCCGTTCCTTCGTACGTCACCTCGAGCTTATCCCACATCTCCTTGGCGAATGAGCAGCAAGAGATCTTGCGGTAGTCATCGGGGTTGACCGCGCAGTAGAGCATGTTAATTGCTTTTGCGTAGTTCTCTACTTTCTTGATGTTTTCGGCATCAAATTTGTCTTCGGTCTTGGGGAGCAACTTGTCTCCGACTTTCTTCATCGGCACCTCTTCCCCGTTTTTGATAACCAACCATAATTGGAAGTTTGTGGAACGAATATAGATTCTCATTCGTTCTTTCCAATATGTATAATTGGTTCCATCAAAAAGAGGTGGCCGTGTGGTTGATTGCCCTTCACCTATTCTTGCATACAAATTTCTAGAAGAAGAACCCATGATCGCTTTACTCTCAAACGGTTAAGTTTGGACGCGAGTTAGGCTCTGATACCAATTGTTAGAATAAGTGACCAACACTAGAGGGGGGGTGAATAGCGTTTGATCGTAGAAATCGCAGGAATAAAAAATTAAGAACGTGAAAAGTAAAGAGCGTAGAAAGCGTAAAGGGAGCACACCAATATTTATACTGGTTCACCACAACGTGTGGCTAATCCAGTCTCCCGAGAGACTCTCTCGAGCTACACTACTTCCGTTAAGCTTACGGGTGCTTAACAAACCGTTACAACCTGAGAACTCGAGTCCCACGAGCCTCAACAACACTTGCTCGGAGATACCGCACTCCAAGACTTCAACCCAAAGGAAAAAATACCTTTCCTTCGTACAACCAAGGGAAACAAGCTTCCCTTAACGTGTATACAACACTAAGACACTCAAGAACAAGACTCTCCTTAAGAGTGGATATTGAGTAAAATATATACGCTCAAGAACAACTCAAACTTCACACAAGTTGGCTCTAGAAAGCTATGGAAAATAATGTGGTTTGGAAGCAATGATAATATGAATATTGTGAAGTGAATTTATGTGTAAAGCAGACCCAAACACCCCTTTTTACAGTGCCAAAATAGGCTCCAACGGACCAATACATTAAAGGGGTGATTGGCTTGATTTATGGGATTGAATAAATTTGGGATCTGCAGGATATTGGCTTCCCAGCGATGTATGGACATTACCCATCGCTGGTAGGCCAATTTTCCTTCAGTTTTGAAGCCAACGGTCACCTACCCATCGATGGGTAAATGCTTCCCATCACTGTGTGGGAGGTTGACTTTCAAACAAGGAAAGAATCAGCCTTAAATGACTCGCAACGGTCATGCCTAACCAGCCATGGGTATGCCCTCCCATCGCTGGGTTGCCATCGATGGGTAAAGGTTCCTATCGCTGGGTAAGGGCATTCTGCCTTGCGAAAATGTTGGACCAAGGCTTAAACAGCGATGGGTAGAACTTCCCATCGCTGTTTGGCATGGTTCTAGAAATCAGTTGGGCTGAAGGCTGCTTACCCATCGCTGGGTAATATCTCCCATCGCTGGGTAGAATGATTCTAGAATCCCGGGATCACTTACCCATGCATGGGTGATATCTACCATCGCTGGGTAGATGGCTAGCCCAGAACCATGGCTTAGCTGACCGGCACTAAACCCGACCGAAAAATGCAAAGTTCTCCTAAGTAAAAACTAAGTATATAAAACAATTATTTAATGTATTGTGATGTCAAAACAAGCTTTTTAAGTTGAAAACCACGTCGTTAAGGTAAAAACCCCGGTTTACCAAGTCAACGCCGTACACGGGTGGTTTTTACCAAAAGACAAAACCGAAAGGTGGTTTTCATGATGTTTTGATTGGAGAACCATTTAGATGCTGTAATACCCCGTATCAAGATGTGAATGGGAAGAGCTCAAAAGGATTGATAGTACTACTCATACCAACAAGGTGCATCTTCTTTTCGAGAGCTCATCAACTAAAAACTCCAAAGTTAAGCGTGCTTGACCTGAAGCAATTTTAGGATGGGTGACCCCCTGGGAAGTTTTACTTGGGCGCGCATGAGTGAGGACAAAGTGTGCGGGAAAGACTTGTGTTGGTTTGTGGGGGCCAGTCTACAATCCTANTTACGGCTAGGGTGGGGCCCGGGGTGTTACAAATGGTATCAGAGCAACCCTGCGACCGTGACGGGCCAGAAGAGCTTAGTTCACCTAGCGGGGAAGATCTATGGGTTCAAAAAAAAAGGATGCAACGAGGACGTTGCATTCCTAAGTGTGGGGGTGAATGTAATACCCCGTATCAAGATGTGAATGGGAAGAGCTCAAAAGGATTGATAGTACTACTCATACCAACAAGGTGCATCTTCTTTTCGAGAGCTCATCACCTAAAAACTTCAAAGTTAAGCGTGCTTGACCTGGAGCAATTTTAGGATCGGTGACCCCCTGGGAAGTTTTACTTGGGCGCGCATGAGTGAGGACAAAGTGTGCGGGAAAGACTTGTGTTGGTTTGTGGGGGCCAGTCTACAATCCTATGAGCAGACACTTACGGCTAGGGTGGGGCCCGGGGTGTTACAGATGCATTCAAAAACAATTCCTACACAAAAAGACTTGAAAACCACTTCATTTAAGTAAAAACCACGGCTAGCCAAGTTTATGCCGTTTCGCATGGTTTTTATCAAACGACAAAAAACGAAAGGTGGTTTTTGAAGTGTTTTTGATGGAAAACTATTTAAATGTGCCCAGAAGTAAAAACTAATCATAAAAAGTTGAAAACCACTTGGTTAGTACGGACGCCAAAAACCAACGCCGAAAACCGAATGCCGAACGCCGGTTTCTGAAACCCGAACGCCGGATGGCTTGGTTTTTGGTTTGGGCGAACACCAAGTGTTTTTAATGTTTTAAACATGTTTGAAAAAAAATTTTATGATGTGAAATGCAATGAAAAGAATTTTAGCCTAAAGAGCCAAGGTGTAAAGATTGGGTCGGTCTTGATCACAATTGTGACCGACTGAACGACACTAAGACTACGGTCTTCGTTCTTGGTCTTCTTTTGGCCCTTGTTCTCTTTTTTCTCATCTTTGGTTCTCTCCTTGTATATTCAATGACTTGTCTCGTTCACGGCGGTTTGGCATTATCAAAACCTGTCATAACAACGAACACGGCTTTAGTACGAAAATGTGATAAACCCGTGTTTCAACATTTTTCTTGCTTGTTTAGACAGCATTCTTTGAAAAAATTTCTAATATCTTCTGGAAAATTAATCTCTGAACCATCTGACTTATCCTCCCAACCGATTGGAGTTTTCTTTCTTCCTTTTTCCAAAATCTTTGCCCTACTTCGAGTTACTATTTGAGAAGGAGAGTAGATGTGCCTGCCCTTGAATTCTCTCCCCAAATCAAAAGGTGTTTTGAACATCCTAGAGTAATCTATTTGAAGAGTTTTGAGGATGTTGTCATTGAAGGCCTTGTCTTCACCTTCCAAGTGCGTATATAGAATTGGCCCCTCTCTTTCTTCCCTAATGTCCTCTAGTGCATTATTCCTAAGTACCAAGTTCCCATAATTAATCTTGTCAAATTCATCATCCTTGAGTGGGCTGCCCTCTGCCAAGTCTGTTACATGATCAAAGAGAGCTGCATATGTGTTGGGCTTAAGTGGAAGGAACTCGGCAGCAAAAGGGGATAGGCGCACTCTTGGGGATATTGAAAATTGTATGATGAAGGGGATTCTGGCTGAGCTAAGTTTTCCTTTTGCTTATGCACATCCACTTCAAAGGTTCCTACCAAGCAGTCAGTCTAAATAGTTGTGTTTACCTGTTGTAGATCCTTGCCTTCCACGAGTTGTACTCTCATGTCATGGTTTTCATTATTCATAAACTTCTCTTCACACTTTTGGGATGATTCTATCACCTCCTGTGATAGATCCTTTATTGATTCAAAAAGTGGATCCCCTACCCCATTATTGTTGAGATTAAAGCTTAACACTTGTTCCTTCAAATGTTGCTCTATGACAATAGGGTCTTTAGCACCAAGAGTGGGTATCTCTACAGTAGAGTACACTCGACCAGTTACATTCTCTCTCAAGCTAGAAACCTCAAATTCTTTTGCCCCTGAGTCTCCTACTGCTGCCCTAAACCCCTTAACCTTGTCTACACACTGTGCTCTCTCAACAAAGCACAAAATAGCCTTAAGGAACTGATTAGGCCCATCATTATTAACTCCAAAGGGGATATGAATGAATCTATTACCTTCTGTTCTAGCTTCCAAAATGCGAATATAGTCCCCCCTATGATTAGAGTCAATAGCAATTTCAAGTGTTCTCTTTACCTCCGATTTGACACAGGCCCAAGTAGAACCATAAATTAGTCTAGGTAGAGATTCCAGGACCCAATTGAGTGAATCAGAATCAAACCATAAATGGAAGTTTCTTCTCCCCCAATCAGTAATACTGAAGACCTTATTGTAGACAGACTAAAACAACTCAAATACCTTATTAAGAATTCTGAATTTGAATATCATGTTCTTGCTAACCAATAGGGAGGTGATTTCTCTCTGACCCTATAAGATTATTCTCTGATCTGAAATCACATATGAATTCTTCAGGTTGTTTACCTTAGGGGATTTGAATGGCCATCTATAGTCTCGACTACGAAGCTTTGAAGTTCTATGGTTTTGATATGCGGTATGGGTGCTGACTCTTTTGATGAAACCAGATATCTTTTATGAATTGGGATAAGCACATGTGTACACACTGGAGTGTATCCTGAAGCCATAGATTGGTCGTTGATAATCTGCACAAAGATTGAAGCGGTGGCGACGACTGCTGAATTCGCCGGAGCTTTCTCGCTTTAAAAACCTGGCCATCTCCTCTATGACTCAATTGTGTATACATATATATTCATACATACATACATACATACATACATACATACATACATATATATATATATATGATAAAATTCACCGCATCCATCTCTCTAGGGTTCCATCACAGCGGTGACGCCGTGGTGTCGGCGACTACTGAAACTGCTCCATTCTACTCCAGCGATCTTCCCTTCAATGGCTTCACGCTATTTTTCCAATTCTTTGGTCTCTGGTGTCAAAATCCTTTCGAGATACAAAGGACTCCCATGCGTTTCCTTCGACGAAACCGAGGTGCAAAATCTTTGTCAACAGTTTAAAAGAACCCTAGTTGGTTCCTTTTGCGCTAGATGGCCATCGATGACCTTGGTTAGGACCACTTCTAAACGAATTGGTTTCTCTTCCACTCCAAAGGTATCCCTCCTTGACTCTTCTCATATTCTCATTACCTTCTCAGAGGAGAAGGACTTTCTCCGATGTCTTCTCCAGAGGACTTGGCGCATCGCTGGTTACAAAATGAATGTGTGTCGATGGACCTGTGATTTCGACCCTTCTATCGATTCACCACTTGCTCCTATCTGGATAGGCCTAGAGGGTCTTCCTCTTCACCTTTTTGAACCCAATTCCCTTTTTTATATAGCTAACCTGGTGGGTCTCCCCCTCCAAATGGATTCTGCCATAGTGAACGTTACTAGACCCTCGGTGGCAAGGGTGTGTGTCGAATTGGACCTGACTAAAGATATGCCTAAAGCTGTTTTGTTTCACCTTGGACAGTTATCCCTCCTCCAGCCTATTACATATGAAGATTTGCCTGAATATTGCATTTCTTGTCAGGCTATAGGCCATAAAAAGTGCAAAACTCCTAGGAAATCTTCTAGATGGTTTAGGAGGGAGGGTAAGCTGTCTAGAAGGGGCTTGAATGATTTTGCAAAGGTTTTGGCTACTAACTGTGTTATTGCCCTTAATGCTCCTCATCATACTGTTGAAATTGTAACACCCCACCCTGGATGACCCGAGTCATCCAGACTAGAATGCTAGTAAAATCGGGTTACTTTGTAAAATATTTTTTTCCCCAAAATATATTTTCTTTTTGATAGCTAAAGAGAAATTAAAAAAACACTTTCTACGTAAACTTAAAGTAAAAACATCCACAGTTAATACAACCTAAAAATAAAGTAAATTTAAGTTCGATGTTTTATTCATTATTAAATATAAAAAAAACTCCTTCGGCACGGCCTCCACGTCCATGCTTTCCTCCTCAGCAGTTGTTTTCCTTACTAGTACCTGCATGCAGTTAAACACTACACGCTCAGCATAAACTGAGTGGCAAATAACCAGTAGACATATATAACATGTAAACATATTTTGGGTCTTTTAAGCTATTCAATTTATTTCAAAAAAAACTTTTCGCATAATTAAAAAATCATCGATGGAAATAATTTCACTTTGAATAATTACTTGGGGACATTTAGAAAACTTTTGACTTACTAGGTTAACCAAAGATTAGAGACTAAGCCGTGACTAGGCTGGAACACCGCACTAGTCGATTCGTAGTTTTACTTCAGATACCTCCCCGTGACCTCGGGTCCAGTAATCAGAAGTGAACCCTAGACCCACGGGGTCATCGTTGGCTTCTCGTGCGCACGTTGTGGTATGATTATTTATAGGCTCATCCAAATGGGCACGGTCCGGCCTTGAAAGTGGTTTGACCCACTTGATATAAACGTGACAGTACTTGGTCAGAGTACGTCGATATATAAATCTTGAAACTTTTACTTCGTCCACTAAATGTTTGGTTAACCCTAGTACGGTCATTTAGATAAAACACTTTTTAATGTTTTTAAACATAAACCATTTTGAAATCATTTAATGGTTCACGTCCCCTGTTGAAACAAAACACTTTATTTCGTAGATTTTTTCTTGCAAAGTAACATGTGTATACATTTTATCTACTTATTTCATTTTCGGCCATTTCACTGTTTTAAATAAACTTTAATTAATTATTTAACTTCTTATGTCTTAGATTAGTTTTTTTTTTACTGAAAAAGTATACATTATTGTTTAGATAGGAAAAATAAACCTTGTAACAATATCTTGAGTACATCAAATATATAAAACAGATTACAGTAAGTATGTAAAACAAATATTCAGTACTCCGTGGTTTATTGTTTTTACTATTGTCAACAATGCCATTTAGATATTCTCTTTTTTAGTGTATATAGTTGTTATTATTATTAGTACCATACATATGGCTCAATTAGTTTTCAAATACTCCGTGGTTTATTCTTGATTTGAAAAAAACCATAAGAAAGAAAATAAACATTTTTTTAACAATACCGATTGTGTTTTTTTCCCTGAGTGCACTAGTGTTTTTTTTTACAAAAACAAGTTTGTTTTTCATCACTGGAAAACTTTATCATATGTTTTTTTTACCGTACATATGTTTGTCAAATTTTTTTAAAACATACTTTACATATATACAGATAAATGCACACAACAAAAAACTAGAACCTAAGAGAATATTCATATGTAAGTTTATACGTATGAATGCAAGGATTTAGATTTAAAACAATATGCACAAAATATATGAACATGATATATATATCTAAAGGTTATGGTCAACGGCACACCTTTGATATTAGTTAGACGAAATAATAGATTGATGAATGACGACGTTGCAAGATGATCGATCTCGTGACAGCATCGATCCCCCACGTCACTCTCTCCCTCAACAAAGCCACAAATCGTTCTTAATCACCTACTCTCTAAATCTATACATCCTTTTCTTCTCTCGATGTGGTCATGAGTTTCTCTTGTTATGAGAGTCTATTTATAGTGAGGAAGGAGAATTCTAGAAAGTGAAGGGGAAAGTGAAGAGATAACATATTTACATTAATTAAATAAAATATTAAAGTATAATTAAAATAAAAATGACCATATTCATTACCTCCATTATGAGGTTAATGAATGGGAAGGGAGTCAAATTTTTCCCTTGTGTTAGGCGTGATGTTTTAGAGAGGAAAACAAATGGTTTTCTTGGTCCGTTTGTTTAATTACATGTCCGACTTTCACAGTTTTGAGTATTAAATATTTTTGGAAAAATATAAAACTTATACCGTTAAGTTCCATATTTTTCACACATCATTTTAACATAATTTGTTTGTCAAGAAGATAGGTTCACTTGAACAAATTATATTTTTCAGATAGTGGAGAACCAAAACTAATTTTATCACCTCTAACAATTTAATCATTAAAGCTTGTATTCTAATTTTTTTCAATAGAATAGTGACATATTTTTAAGGAACGTTTTTTTTTCATACTTAAATTTCAAACATTTTTTCTTTGTAGTAAAAAGTTAAAAATTTTAGACCGGTTTTCAGGACGTTACAGAAATTCCTGCTGCTCTGAGTATTGCTGATACTACCTTTGCTATTCCTAACTCTTCAAGTAGGACTCGTGTCTCTACTAAGGCTTTACATGAAGGTCCGCTTCCTTTTTTTCAAACCTGCAGTGATATCAATGAGCAGGCTAAGGATCCTACCATACTAATTGGAAAGATATAATGCACCAAGGTTTATGCTTCACTTTCTATTGTGGCTGAAAATTAAACCTTTTGGGAAAGGATGTTGCAACACCAATTGATCCTTTACATCCAGTTCCTTTGGGTGCTGAAAGTTTTCTGGGAAATGATGTTGTAAGTCCAACTGATCGCGAGCCAAAAAGAACTAGAGATTTTGTTCACCAAGTTTTTGATGAAACTGCTCTACTCCACAGCCCCCCCTTCGCCCCTTTACCTGAAGTTTTCCACACACCCGTCCCCTTAATTGCAGATGTCCTTGATGCTTGTGATGCACACAGTACACTCCGAAAGGATGTACTGGATGGCTCACATGACAATTCAGCTAGTGGGGATGATGAAATTATTTCTAACCCAAACATTCCCACTCAAAATCGATTTGGATTGTTAACTGACCCTATGATTACTGAGATTTCTGAACAGGTCATCCCTAACACCACTCACCCGCCCAATAGCACACCGACACAAGAGAAAGTTCACCATGAAATGTCAAGAATGACAACAAGAAGATCAAGACCACCCCTAATTGAAGGCATCATTCTTGAGTGTGCGGGCGAACCAAAACTAGGATGCGAGGGATACTACGGGCCATTTCTCTTCCTAGGCCCTCCAGGAGCACCGAGGGAAGATGGAAAAAGGCCACGAACAGCAATACCTACCAAAATCTCACCTCATACCATGCTGAACGCGTGGATTTAATTTTGGGCTACGTCCCTTGTTACTTTGTACCCCTTCATTTTTCTTTGCTCTACCACCTTTGGGTAGACTCACCCATTTTCTTTTTGGAGTGTTTAATTTGCTCCCTCTTATATATATATATATATATATATATATATATATATATATATATATATATATATATATATATATATATTGAAAAGTTCATCTCCTTAATTTTACAATTGCATATTCAACTCAATCTCGGCAGTTGTTATGGCGATAGTTTAAACCATAGGAGAGGGGAAAGGGAGTAAAATGGACGATAATCTTTCCAAAATAGGAATAATCTATCAAATGTCAACAGATAAAATGTTTTCAGCGATCTTCAACCTTGCAAGCATAAATAACAAGGGCGACTTCAGAGAAATCCGTGATGCACAAACTAGAATGAAGGCCAGTTGCAGATCTTCTATGCTCTCAGCTAGACAGTACCATCTTTTCTGCGGCCAATAATGAGCAATTTTTGGTTTTACCTTCCTCATCCCAGCCTCTTTTCATAGCTTCCTTCTTCATTTCATTGATCTGATTTTCAACGTCAAAGCATGCAGCTTGAATTTCTTGATTTTTCAAACACAGTTCATTCCATTGTGTGGACAAAGCATTCAGCTCATAGGCAGTATTTTGTTGATGATATTTCCTTTCTCGATTTACACTTTCAATCTTTTCATTTAACTTAACGGCTTCCGACTGCATTCTGGCTAAAAAAGCCTCCAGTCCTTGGTTGTATAGCTTCCATGCATCAGGGTTGTGATTTAACATCAGATCTAGATTTTCCTGCCTTATGACTTGATGCTGCAACAAGCTCTGAGCCTTCTGGAGAGCTTGTTTCCACGTAGATTCATCATTCCTTTTGTTTCCCTGGGGCTCTTCAAGTCCATATCTTGAAGTGTCAATTTGCACAGGAGGCTTCCCGGCTCTCACCCTTTCATATTCCCTTGCAAGCATTGGATGGTTCTCGAATTTGAACTTGGGAAGAGGAGGGAGGTCCTTGAGAAAATCTGAGGGCTTTCTTGTGCTGCGGCGCATCTCTTCATCGGCCAAACGGTCCACCTCTGCTTTGACCTTCGGATCACCATAGTCGTCGTCGATGTACGGTAAAGCGTCGATTAGCTCCGAGCCGCTGGACCAGGCCGGCCTAGCCTCAGGCGGCGCCTCAAGCATTAGAATGTCTCCCTTGTTCGTCATATATATATATATATATATATATATATATATATATATATATATATATATATATATATTCTAAGGATTTTTATTAAAGTGAAAAAAGTTACAATACGTTTGGGGAGGGCAAGACCTAGCCCCAAAGGTGTAAAGGAAGAAAGGAGGATCATGTGTTTAACGATTACAAACTGGTAAAATTAAACTAAGGATGCCAGCAGACGTCTTCCATTAAGCCAAAAGAAATCTCCTCTCCAGAATGCATTGTTTTGATTTGGTCCCTTAATTAGCCATTTTTTCCTCCTATTTATCCAGCACCACCTTTGGATAAGAGAGGTTACAGTTCTGATCAGGCCATGAATGTTGTTTTGCCTATCTTCATGGAGGGCCGAGGTGTGATTCTTCCAGAGGACCCATGCAATAAAACCAGGTACCACTGCACGTAAGTTACCTTCTAATCCTTTTCCCTTTGCACTTGTCCACCATTGGAGTAGGTAATGTTGGATTGTACTGTTGGATGAGGGTAGTGGTCCATCTAACAGTAGTGCGTAGTATTTCCATCAATCCATGGCAGTGGGACAATGCAAAAGCGTGTGGTTACATCCATCTTCATTTCTCATGCATGCTAAACATATCCCTTGTACAGGGATGGAGAGAGTTCGTACATTAGGTGTGAAGGGGAGGGCATTGTGATGGACTTTCCAGAGGAAGAGCTTGATGTTTGGTGTCTGATATTTGTGCCAAATAAATTTGTTCTGTATCTGGGGTGGGACAGGTTGCAGGGTAGACAGATACGCTGCTTTCAGGGTGAAATCTTTGTCCATCCATTTTAGTGTGCCATCCATCATGGTTGTGTGTTCAGTTGCCGTTGCATTTACTCTAAAGATCCTCTTCCAAACTGCAGAGTCTGGAAGCCTTTCCTTAAAGATGTTGCTTTTGAGGTATTTCCTGCGCATGAATGTTGCCCAGAGTCCTTGGTCAGATCTGATCTTTGCCCATAGTTTGTATGAGTAGGCTTGCTGTATGTGGTGAAGAGCACGAATTCCTAAGCCCCCAAAATCTGTGGGGACACAAATCTCTTTCCAGCTGACCCAGTGGTGCTTCCTTTTTCCATCTTTAACACCCCAGAGAAAACAAGCCATCCTTTGGTGTAGAGAATTGATTATGGATTGGGGGAGGGTATGGACTGCAATGGTATGAAGTGGGATGGAGGAGAGTACATGTTTAATTAGTATCAATCTGCCCATGGGGTTGAGTGTCTTGCTGTACCAAGAGCTGAGGTGACTATCAAAATGATCAAGTAGGGTGCCACAATGGTGTTTCTTCAGCTTTCCCTTTGTTATTGTAGCTCCTAAGTATTGCAACGGTGTTATTCCTTGCTTCATCTCTAGTGCTCTTGTTGTTGCTGTAATGGCTGCTTGCCTTGCATGTTTCCCACAGTAGAATCTGCTTTTGTTGAGGTTTATGTCCTGGCCAGAAGCTTGAAGATAGGTGTTGATGATCCCTTTGAGCCGGAGAACATTCCTATAGTGACCATTGGCAAATATAATTAAATCGTCTGCATAAGCTAGGTGTGAAATCCTTGGAACCTGTCCTGCATTAAAAGGGGTTAGATAAGAATTGTTTAGGTGGTGATTCAAGGTGC